AAGGTCAATCTAGGGATGGGAACCCAGTCTAAAAGCTACATGTATCTACACATAACATGCTTCCACTGAGCTAGCTGATATATTACAGATACTGACTACAGAGCTTCCTGTGAAATCATCAAAATCATCAAGCATTACTGAAGCCACAGGAGATTACCACTGAAACCATTACCATTCCTGGCCATAACAGGTTTTAATACAATTACATTAAGACTGCTGATGAAAACAATTAATCTACCCGGTGAGAAACTGGATATATAATAATAATGTGTTACTAATATCTGAAATGCTCGGAGTGTTTACAAAGTTGGGTTGCTATCAGGAACTATGGTTTTTGGGTCATAAATGTAGAGAAACTACCAAAATATGTGTGGCAACAGTAACTTATTCCAGACTTTTAGCATCAACTATGGCACCTATACAAACTGCCTTGTTTATACAGTATGCCAAATAACCAAATAACTTCCCTATGCACTCATATTATTATTTGTGTTACAGCACTGAGAGAGAGAGAGAGAGAGAGAGAGAGAGAGAGAGAGAGAGAGAGAGGAGCGTTCACATGAATCTACTGTGTACTAGTACATGTACATGTATTAGCAAGAGAGGAGAAGAATAAACAGTGCAGAAGCTCACTGGCACTCAGCCATCTTAATAACGGCATAATCCATGGGCCTTCCTAGCAAGGGCCTAGCAGTTACACCTCGAAGCCAAAATATAATTCGTGTGGGGCTGGGGAGACCACTGAGGGATTAGGCAGTCTTACTTTCATGTAGGGTCTGCCATATTTGATCCTAGGACCAGTAGATCCAAGGACCACCTGTTCTGAATGTGACCTAAGATTAGATAAGATTAGAATTTTTTTACTATTATATATATATATATATAACAAAAAATGATTCTGATACTGCATTTAAGTGTCCAGCATTCAGTTAAATCAGATAAATATTCTACTTTCCACAAAAATAAGGTTGATTTTTCATATCAAATGGAACAAAAAATTCCCTTGAGCAGTGTAAATATCTCAGCACTCTTTGCTGGCCTAGTTGTGTATACATACAGTGTTTTCTTGGAGATGTTCCATTCACAACATCTAAGTATATTTCCACCACACTGCCAGTAATTGACACCAGATTCTTGGCAATATCTACCAGTTACCAGGAAATGCTGTAACTGCTATCACCTGAATTCCTTGAAAACAGGTCTGAGGTATTTGGGGGAACTGGGGCCTGTGTTATAGAAGAAAGAAAGGATGGAAATTTGTCTCAACTTTTTAACCAAAAACTGAACTACTTAATAATAATAATAATAATAATAATAATAATAATAATAATAATGTATTAAAATTGGGTAAAACACGCTAAGTGCACAAACGTGTCTTACACATGGCCCTCTTTTTTTTAAATAATAATAAACTAGCCGAGCTAGTGCACACTTTGACATAATTAACATCAGTACTGTAGTCTAATTCAATGGAATATATTGTTATTTAATCAGAAAGGCTGTGTTAATGTTTCAGGCTATCATTCCTAGTCAGGTATTTATCATTGTTTGACATACATGATCTGGTGAGTGAACATATATCCCAGTGCTGAATAATACTGATTTGATGACAAATTATAGTTACTTGTAATTTAATTTGCCTTAGTCAATGCTGGTCATTCTTTATTCCACTCAGGTCAGTATGTGATATCTTGTAATCCAGGAATTCAGAGCAGCTGGGGCCCAGTGGTCTCAAGGAAAACCACATGCTGAGAGTTGAGAGGAAATACACTGTACAAGACAATTAAGTAATAGCACAAAACCATTTTGTATGATGAGATATCAATCAATTCCATTTTGATTGTGAGGTTTATGATAGGGAAACTGAGCAAGGATCTCCATTACTTTTATATTGGCTCTAATAAGAGCACATGAAGAAGAAAAAACACCAGTCATTGATCGAGGCCACTTAAAACCCTCTTAAAATGAAGTTCCTGAATCAATAACCTAATTTGACCTTTGAACAGATACTGATTCATACAGAATAATCTGTAGTCAAAAGCTTTGCTGCCCACACACCTCACAGCAGCCAGTGTGCAATCAATGCTATCAGCTGGAGACGGACCAGTTGTTCTACACAGTGTTCTAACAGAAAAACTGAATCATATTTCCACATCATCAGCAACAGAGCAGAGGAAATACTCAACACAAGCCAGTCAGAAACCAGGCAACATTCAGGAGCGGATCCAGGATTATTTGAAAGGGGTGGGGGTGGGGGCAGGGATGTGAAGCTGCCCCCTCTCCACCCTTTATGTGGGGTTTGGGGTCCCGAAAATTTTTTTGTTTAAGAGGGCGAACGGTGCCATTTAGTACGGGTTAGAACTATGATTCAGCTAGTAAAAATTCTAATTTCAAGCAGGGATCATTGGTGTGATTTTTTTCAAAAATCGAAGGGAGTGCATCAGGATCCCTCTGGCATCCCCCCCTTAAAACTTGCCACTGACATTGTTCAGTAGATGCATCATCACACATTCCTGTAACAGGCCATTATCACTGCTACCATACCTTCAATTAGATTACACACTACAGATCATTTATCCAAGTATGATATTAGAATACAAAACTATGGCTCAATTCTTTACTTAAGATACTAAGATGACTACTGTAAAAGAACATTACAGCAAATTTGGCAGCCCCCTGATAAAGCACCAGTCTCCTGTGAGCAATGTGTCGACTAGTATATGTTTGATAGCCTTCTACTAGTATCTTGCTCTCCAGTTTGGGGGGGGGCAGGTTTTTACTGATCAAGAAAAAATTCAAATAGTTGACAGTGAAAATAACTGTGTGTTCTGTATATTTAAAAGATCTTTAGAATTGCACTTGACATGTATTAGTAGCAATTATATACTCCTTAAGTTTCGTAAATTTTCCTATCTTCTTGATGCAAAATGGCTCCATTTTTAAACTAATTCCTCTTTGGACGTATTGTTTCTGTGTTGTCATTTGTTCTTATTTACAAGGTCTGTTTGAATTGTTGCAATATATCAATCTTCTCTGGACCACGCCCACGTTTGCTGACCTCCCATTCTCTCAAAAATCCACTATCTGACTGAACTTCTTAACTTACAAGTTCTCTGTTCAGGTATAGCATACCAATGTTCTGAGANTACCCGCGCCCCCCCCCCCCCCCCCCCCCCCTTAAAACTTGCCACTGACTTTGTCCAGTAGATGCATCATCACACATTCCCGTAACAGGCCATTATCACTGCTACCATACCTTCAATTAGATTACACACTACAGATCGTTTATCCAAGTATTATATTAGAATACAAAACTATGGCTCAATTCTTTACTTAAGATACTAAGATGACTACTGTAAAAGAACATTACAGCAAATTTGGCAGCCCCCTGATAAAGCACCAGTCTCCTGTGAGCAATGTGTCGACTAGTATATGTTTGATAGCCTTCTACAGTACTAGTATCTTGCTCTCCAGTTTGGGGGGGGGGGCAGGTTTTTACTGATCAAGAAAAAATTCAAATAGTTGACAGTGAAAATAACTGTGTGTTCTGTATATTTAAAAGATCTTTAGAACTGCACTTGACATGTATTAGTAGCAATTATATACTCATTAAGTTCCGTAAATTTTCCTATCTTCTTGATGCAAAATGGCTCCATTTTTAAACTAATTCCTCTTTTGACGTATTGTTTCTTTGTTGTCATTTGTTCTTATTTACAAGGTCTGTTTGAATTGTTGCAATATATCAATCTTCTCTGGACCACGCCCACGTTTGCTGACCTCCCATTCTCTCAAAAATCCACTATCTGACTGAACTTCTTAACTTACAAGTTCTCTGTTCAGGTATAGCATACGTACCAATGTTCTGAGAAATGTAATAAATCTTTTTTTTTTCAATTTGCTGTGTAATTACTGTACGTAGCATGTCTACAGAACTGTGAGTGGATGCTGTGTCTCATAACACTGAGCATTGATTTCTGGCAGGATATGATTGTAATCAAATGACTTCATGCATCATTACCTTACAGCAGCTCCACACTGGAGTGGCCAGAGACAACAATGTCTTTTTACTGAAATAAGGCTTCAAATATTACCAATTAAGAGTTTCACCTATTAACAGAGGAGGCAATAAAATCACATTACTAACATAAAGACCACAGCACATAAGATATATTTCATTATTCTGGACAAGGAATGGTGATTGCTGCTGATTTCAGACTCATCACTAATCAATACACAAACAGTACTTGTGTAGCGATTTGGGGTGAGTGCAGAAAAATCACCAGCCAGACCAGGAATCGAACCCGGGACCCCTCGCTTACAGGGCGAGTGCTCTTACCTACTAAGCTACCCGACTGGTTCTACCTGCCCCTGGCACTACACTTGTTTGCTGTACTCTGAACAAATGATCAGTGATGAAACCAACACAATATTAATGATGGCAGTATACTATAGGGTAACACTTATGGGGCTTTTGTATTAAATACATTAATAATAAATTTTCCTGATTCATCATAAATTTTAAACAGTTGTTTAATTTTGCTTCATTTTTCATATCCTGATGATCAAAATATTACAAAGATATATATCATTAACTCCATACATTCACTTTATAATAAAAAAATCTTAAAATGAATATAATTAACTAATGACTTTATTAATGGCATTTTAAAACAGTCAAGCAGACCACGAGAGAGAACAGGAAGAGCAAGCTATCTTAATCAACCTCTCAGAGCTACTGTAAATGACCCATTACATTAGTATCCGAGAAGATAACTACTAAGAGGTATAGCAGTAAGGTCACGCTTAGCTGTACAACGTGATAACATTAAGGAGGCATTTATTATATAATTCCCAACTGTCACTGCACTTTTCGGCTTCATGCAAATATAATGTAATGACTCACTGATATGAGCCGAGATGTTGGACGGGTACTATATAATAATGAGCTAGATATCTTAGCTATTCACGGTCAATCTTAAACAAAATAAATTCGTACGTACGAGTGCCATGTCCTCCCAAATTGTCCCTTGTCTCTATGCTTCCATCGAGGTGCAGGAAAAAAGCAACGCTCTCTGCGACAAATGACTAGATTCCGCCTTCCCGCATTGACAACTCTCCGTAAGCTGGAGACCAGATTAAATTATTCACACTAGGGGCGACAAACAGGACAGCCTCAAAAATAAAGGCTGCTTATTGAAAAGAAACAATATTGAATGCATGTTTAATTAAAATATTACCTTTTCAAAGTTTTTTAAGCATGGAGGTTAACATTAAGCAATATATATTATGAATAGTTAGCATAAATTTTGGCCTATCTTGACAAAACTCTCGCTTGGTGCGAGATCGCATTTGTTTACATAGCAACCCATAGTAACCCACCACACAGCCGTTCTTTCAATCAATATACATCAACTCATTGGATTAAGAAGCAGCTAGGAGAAATTTCGTCAAAACACAGAATGGAAGGTTTACCATTTTTACCTGGAAATAGTTTTTCTGATCCAGCAGTAAGTAGATTTTGGTTTACAGTGATGAATGACGCCTCGGATATTTTACAACGTTGGCAGCACAAAAATTTTAAAAATGTTAGAGATACTACACTACAATTCAGCCAAGATGTCATTGACCATATCAGAATATTGGCGACAACGTCCTCTTCTCAGTTTTTGGCAGTGGAATGACATTTGTTCAGACTAAATTAAAAAATGCTGAGTCTGAACTGGCTGTGATAATTATATACTGAGTATGTGATTGCCATAGAATTAAAAACCTATAATTATTATTATAATCACTTGACGGGACGTAAGTTACAGGGTGGGGGTGGGGGGGGTATACTACAAAAGTACCGATATTTAGTGTGGTTTGGTATTTTATTTAAACTTTAATGATTCTTTTTGCAGAAGTCAAGATATCACTTACCCCATACTCTTGGATACCAAAATGGCTATGCCCTACAAAAGCGACCAGAGCTGGGAGTTGGTGGAGTTCCTTTGCCTAAGAACCAACTCTCAGAGGAAGAACTTGATGAGCTGGCCAACTTCAAACCAACTCTGACCTATGGCCAGGCAAAACAAGCACCACCATCTGACTTTGTACCAGCTCATGTAGCTTGGGACAAAAAGGTAACATAACTTTCTATGTTATCAACAAGAGTCATTGTATTTTGATTAAGACAAAGGTTACGGAAACTTTAGTTCATTATCAGCAGGAAAATAAAATGGGTCGAAATTAAATTCACCATACCAAAAAAAAAAAATAATAATAATAATAAATTAGATAAATAAATAAATAAAATAAAAATAAAAACTTGACCTTATTCAGAAACAGCAAGTGATATGCTTATAATATATCTCATATATTTACTTATATTTGATGTAAAATACTAATTTGAAACACAATAATTATTTGATTATTACACAAAAACTTTCTACAGGTATTGCTGTTCAGGGGTTACTTCAAGCAGACCGTCCATGAATCCCCGGGAGAATATTTCCGTGTGCGTCCAGTCAACATCTACTATTACCTGGAAGATGACAGCATCTCAGTGGTCGAACCTCATGTAGAGAACAGTGGAATGCCACAAGGTTTGTAATTAGTTAAACATTTAAATTGCAGATGTATTATAATTTGGATGGAAGATTGTGAAAATCAGGTTAAACTAAGAAACAAAGATATCATTATAATTATTATCAAAGTTAAATGATTTTTAGATTTACCAGTGAAACATTGTTCCTTCCTTTTTATATGGGTTTATACTAATATTGAATTTACTGAAGTATTTCTTTGCTTCCAGGCAAATTGATCAAACGCCAGCGGCTGCCAAAGAATGACCAGGGGGACAACTGGCACTGGAAAGATATCAACCTTGGCCAGAATATCACGTTCTACGGCAAAGTTTTCCACATCACAGACTGTGATCAATGGACAAGGGTATGTTGTCATCTTCACTCTGCTTCTCTCAGCTTGGGTTGTGATTTAAAAATGCATAATACCAGATTGGAAAGTTGAACAAATAAAATATTGGTATTTTTGTGAGTTAAATTATATTTTAAAATATAAAATAAATTTCAAAGTTATTAATTATTTTCTCCAACTTTATTTCTTCTCAATTTCAAGATGATTTTTAATATAGAGAAATTTCCAATAACAATAATGATTTTTTTACTCAATCATCTTTACATCATAATCATTGGTACCTCATATACCATTTTAGTTTTCATAGTTTTAGACATATTATAATTGTTTTTCTAAATTCTCTTCTTCAACAGGACTTCTTAGACAGTGAAGGTATAGTGGTGAATGAACCTGAGCAGCTACCACTGGATCCTTACACGGAGGAGCGCAGAGTACGTGCTGAACTACGAACCTATGAAACACCCTCATCCTTTGACAAACTTAAACAGTTTCTGGAACTTGATCGCAAAGTTCTCCGCTTCTTCTGTGCTTGGGACGACAGGGACAGCATGTTTGGACAGATGAGACCTTTCATTTTACATGTGAGTTAAAAACAGATATAGTACTCAATTGATATGTATCTCTACATAAAACAATAAAGACTTTTTTTAATTGTAAGATTTAAGAAAATAAAACACAGACATTATATATTGGAAAAGTTAGGGCTTTTGAAATAAAGTGTCGAAATTAAATATGGATAAGTGTCTTAATAGTGATCTCAAATAAAGTTTTAACATGACTCTTTCTCGCTCTATGTCCAGTATTATCTGGTGGATGACACCCTGGAGATACGCGAGGTAAGAGAACCCAATGACGGACGCGACCCATTCCCTGTCCTGATTGGACGCCACAAGGTCCCTAAAGATCGCTACAACGTGGAATCCTCTTTCCCTGGTGTTGTCATGGAGCTGACCAATAATGAGATCAAGGAGTATTTTACGCCCCGTGACTTCATGATCGGTGAGACAGTGTACATCTACGGCAGGCGTTTCCTGATTTACGACTGTGATAACTTCACTAAAGCCTTCTTCTACCAGAACTTTGGGATCTCTGACTTCCCCACGGTGGATGTGAAGGGAAGAGCCAAGGATGTACCCAAAATGGTGAGCTTCTGTTTGTCGTACTTCTTTTATCAAAATGTTATAATTGTAATCTTTGCCAAATGGGTCGTGTGAGATTTCTGAATTGGTCTTGTTGATGTGACACTTGTTCAATTGAATGGCATGCCGTTGTGGAAAAAGTAGAAGATCTTGTATTATGACTAACATACATGTCTATCTCATTCCAGGAAATCCCGCCATACAACCAGTTTGGTTCCCTGGAAGACTCCCTGCAATCTTGTCTGTCTCTCATTCCACAACCGCCCAAGAAAGATTTCATCAAAATGTTGGAGAATGACCACAAAGTGCTCAGATTTGAGGCAATACTGGTGAGGAATATTCAAAGACCACTTTAAAGGCATTTCTTGCTGGTCTCCACAATGAGAATATTTTTGTTTTCTTTTATGAAGACTGGCAAAATTGAATGAAACTTCTGTGTAATAAGGATTTTGAAAAAGAAAAAGAAATAAAATTCTTTTAAATGCCTGAGTACCATGTATCTTTTTAACAGAAACCAATCTCAGAAGTTAAGACATTATAAAAACCTCCACTTTGAACTGAAGACATAATCATACTTTGTTTTCTACAATCTAGGACTCTGTGAAGCCAGAAGACAAGGGACGGCGGTTCATTCTTTCCTACCGCCTAGCAGATGACATGATGACCATCTATGAACCCCCAGTGAGGAATTCTGGGATTATTGGAGGAAAATTCCTGGAACGTACACGAGTTGCCAAACCCAACAGTACCCCTGACCGTCCTGTGTATTATGGTCCTGCTGACCTTTGCCTTGGGTCCACCATCGAGGTGTTTAAACACCGCTTTGTGATCACGAACGCTGACGAGTACGTGTTGAAGTATATGGAGGAACACTCCAGTCAGTTTCCTGGTAAGTCAGCAGCTCATGCTAAACTGTCAAATTCACAATATTATCTTTGTTTTTATGCTCACTTGTTTTAAAAAAGCGAAAAAAAAAAAATACTGAAACACAAGAGGGGGGTGCCCCCATTCTGAAATTCTCCATAAAAATGGAGAGAGAAAAAAAATTGTAATGTCTCTGAATGCTTCTGTTAAATCAATTTTCTCAGTTCCATTTTGGTAATTGTACAAAGATAACTTGTCACTGAAGTACATATTACATATCAGGACTTGTGCAGGCATTTTGTATTCATGTTTGCCCATGTACTTCCAGAGACAACCATCAACTCCCTGAGGGCAACCCTGGGGAAGGGAGCCAGCGCCCAGGAGACAGTGAAGGGAGGAGACATGAGGGTGAAGAGGGCGTAAGTAGTCCATTTACTTTATCTGATAGGTTAGACTTCATTCTGTGGTATATATAGTACTTTATCTGATAGGTTAGACTTCTTTCTGTGGTATACAGGACTTCTCTGTTAGCTTGAGTGATGTAGTAGATATATCAAGAGAAACAATGGGGAAAGGTTTCCTGGGGTGTCATTTATAACCATCATTACTAAGACAACTAGAGGACTAGTTGTATTCACAGAACTATTTCTCACATGGTTCAAATTTATGAAAAAGATAAGTTTCAAAACCATAACAAAGACGTTTATTACAACTGTCTGTATCTGTTTTCACAGTCCTGGAGACTTGGAGAATCTAGTGCGTGAGGTGAAAGCTCAGCTGAAGAAGATCGCCATCACAGGCCGTCAGAGGATAGACGACCTGTTCCTGAAGTACGACACAGACAGATCTGGCTACATTGACAAAGACAAGCTGAAGTACATCTGCAAACAGATACAGCTGCCACTGGATGATGATGTCATGGATGCGGTAAGTTTCATTATTATGTCATAGTGCTGACTGTGATGTCAGAAGTTAATTGTGATGTCATAGTGTAGCCTGTGATGTCATAGTGTAGACTGTGATGTCATTGTTGACTGTGATGTCAAGTTAATTGTGATGTCATAGTGTAGACTGTGATGTCATTGTTGACTGTGATGTCACAAGTTAATTGTGACATGATGGGAAATGGAGTATGATCTCAAGAAAAAAAATGACAAACTTTTTACTCCATCTTTGATATTACTCCAAGAATTTAAATTTGCATTTCATCCAGGAGTCAAATATTTATCATTTACTGTAGCAGAGCTATCTTGCCTTTTTCTTTTTTTTTTAGTTTTATATCTTTGTAACGTAAATAAATTATTATTC